ATTGTGTTTTCCTTGGAGGAAACATTATCTCATGGAAAAGTAAGAAACAGAATGTAGTGGCTCGATCAACCGCTGAAGCTGAATATAGAGCAATGGCGTCACTAACATGTGAACTTATATGGGTGAAGCAGTTCCTTCAAGAGCTTAGCTTCTGTGACATCCAGAGTATGAAGATGTATTGTGATAACCAAGATGCTCTTCACATTGCATCAAATCCAGTGTTTCACGAGAGAACTAAACATATAGAAATTGATTGTCATTTTGTTCGGGAAAAGTTATTGTCAAAAGAAATATGTACCGAGTTTGTTGGATCAAATGACCAACTCGCAGATGTGTTGACTAAGTCATTAAGGGGACCTCGGATTGAGTTTATTTGTTCCAAGCTTGGTACATACAATCTGTATGCTCCAGCTTGAGGGGGAGTGTTAGAATAATTACTGTTACATATCATCATTAAGGCTAGTTTGCTAGACCAGTAATGAGTCGTACCTAGTTCTGTACCTAGAGATCTAGTGCAGACTCTTGATGTTCCATGTACTCTTGTGTTTTCAATATATATAGAAGATAATGAGAGGGATTTGTTGAGCCCTCAAGAATATATTTTATCAGTTTTAATCTCAAGTGTATATATATACAGTAACCAGATATTCATTTTTTATTTACTTTCTGATGATATGTATGTATTGCTTTTAAGTAAAGGTACCTCAGGTGGTACCATTATTATCGTAGAATATCTTTCTTTATTTTAGCAATGATCTTTAATGCACAGACCTACTTGAGCTTCGCAGATTCGGATTTACGACACTGCATCTATGTCATGTTCATATGTCTTATCTGGTCACACTGAAATTGTTCTATGCCTTGACACCTGTGTATCAACTTCTGGGAGAACATTCATTGTAACTGGAAGTAAAGACAACAGTGTAAGTATTTTCCCCTTTGATCTCATGATTGTTGAAAATGCTTTAAATCCTATTTTATGGGAAGAAGTGCTTGAGGTGCTTCAGTAAGTGTTAACAACAGGTGTCCTATTAACTTCATAGTATGCATATGCTTATAGTTATGTACTGGGAGTAGTTTAAAACAGATGTCTGCTTGTCAAACAGGTTAGGTTGTGGGAGTCAGAAAGTGCAAACTGCATTGGAGTTGGTATAGGTCATATGGGAGCTGTTGGAGCCGTCGCCTTTTCCAAAAGAAAGCGAGATTTCTTTGTTAGTGGCAGTAGGTGAGTATTGATGCATTTATTCCTATTTTGATTCTCAATAGCAAAAACTTGTCTACTTTTTTATTTTTTGCATGTTCCTTCATTTTGGATTCCCTTTCTGGGTTTTTCTTATGTTCAATCTCTTAATTGCAAAATTAGCTACTATTAAATGGAAGTAACATTGAAGTTGTAACAAGAGAAAAATGACCATGTACTGACAGTGTACAACAAGTTTACACTGACATCCAATCACAAATTACCATGTATGATAAGTTTGTTGACTTTTTCTATGACTACCTTAGTAGTTAACATTCAGATTTTATTTGTAAATGATATGATTCTATGATTTTGCATAATATTTCCAATTCAAATCTCACGCATGATTGTGCTGAATCAGTATCAGAAAATTTCCAATTCAAATTTCGTTCACCTTTTTTTAGCATCAGAATCAGTATCAGAAAATTTGTGCTGAATTTAATCTCCTGTTCCTTCCCTTTTCGAGTTCACTGAATCATGCAAGATGTTTTGCTACCCATGGATCATTTACCCAGATTACAATGTGGCCTTCCTTTTTACTCTACTATATGAACTGGATTTAGTAATATGTCATTGATTGTACGGTTGAATTCATTGGTTCTAATCCTGCTAGCCTTTAGTTGGTACTATTTGTTATTTATTCCCTTTCATTGTTTTTTCAGTGATCATACTCTTAAAGTGTGGAGTATGGATGGCCTCTCAGACAATACGACAGTGCCTATTAATTTAAAAGCAAAAGCTGTTGTTGCAGCTCATGATAAAGATATCAATTCTGTAGCAGTTGCTCCAAATGATAGTTTAGTGTGTAGTGGTTCTCAGGTTGGTAATTATATCTGACTTGCAGCTTACTTTATGCCTTTATATCATGTACTGTAATTATTTGCAGAAATAATTACTGTCACTTGTGCGTTTCTTGTTTTATTCTAGTAAAGTGTCACTAGCTACTTACACCAGCTTCTTTCCTTTACTTATCTTTTTACTCTTTTTTTCCATATTATAGTGTTTCCACTGTAGTTATCATTGTCATTATGTTCCACTTGTATATCCCATCAGGATCGTACAGCTTGTGTTTGGAGACTTCCAGATCTTGTATCGGTTGTTGTGTTTAAAGGGCATAAAAGGGGAATTTGGTCAGTAGAATTTTCTCCTGTCGATCAGTGTGTTGTAACAGCATCTGGTGACAAGACAATAAGGATATGGGCTATATCTGATGGCTCCTGTTTGAAGACATTTGAAGGACACACTTCAAGTGTGTTAAGAGCATTGTTTGTTACCCGTGGAACACAAATTGTTTCCTGTGGTACGAGGCTATCCTATGCTGATTTTCTTTATAACATTTTTATTTTTTGTCAGTGTGATCAGCTTAATTAATTTTTCAGGTGCTGATGGTTTAGTAAAGCTGTGGACTGTAAAAACCAATGAATGTGTTGCTACTTATGATCATCATGAAGATAAGGTGCCAGTTGATCCTTGATATTTCTTTTCATCTAATTTCATATTTTTCTGTCTATAAATGTAATTCCTGAAAATATGGTATAAATTTGTTACATGTTTTTTTTTCTTTTCTTTATCGGCAAATTTGTTGCATGCTTAATATTTTCCAAAGGTGAGTTCTTGAATTATTAATTAAAAGCTGTATATTGATCTCTTTAGCTTTCAGCCAAGAAATTATATCAATGCTGCTAAATTGTATGCAGTCAAACATTCAAATTATGCTTTCCTTAGTCACCCATTCTTCCGAATTTTAGAGAAAATGTGATTTTTTTTTCTAATTATTTTGGCAATTACACATTTCCACAATATTTGTTTAAGCATAGAAAAAAGTCATTCTATGATACACTGTTGTTTTGAGTTTTTTTCCTTCTTTAGAAGATGCTTTTTAGGTACCAAGAAAATAACTAAAACAGCTTTTTATAATATCTAATTAACATAAATTGTTGAAAACATATATTTTCATTGAAAAACTGACTTTTTGGAAAACTGAAAAACAGGTTGAATTCACAAAAGTTCAGGTTTCTTGTACCTTTTCTTTTGCTGACTAAATTTGACATGCAGGTTTGGGCCTTGGCTGTAGGCAAAAAAACAGAAATGCTTGCAACTGGTGGTGGTGATGCTGTTGTCAATTTATGGTTTGATTCCACTGCAGCTGACAAAGAAGAAGCTTTCCGTAAAGAGGTGAGTTCAACCAATCATTCAGTACTGATACCCTCATATCCTGAAAATTAAATCAAAAGTTGCGTTTCACCGTGATTCTTTATATAATTGTTGTGAAGATCTAATTGTTCCTATTGCATATCATACCAATTTTATGATGCTCTTTCTGTGAATTTAATGCAACAATGTAAGACCAAGAGTAGTCACAATGTTGGAAATCATCTGAATGGAATTTCTATCGGTAAAAGTCGTTAAAAGTCATTATCTGAATTGAATGTAAGACCAAAAGTGCATTTTGCTCATGTTTTTTCTAATGCAACTGTCTTGCAAAACATGCAATATTAGGATTTTATGCAGTTTTTAAATTTTAATGAAAATAAACTGCAATACCTCAATTATATCCTGAATTAGATTATCAAAGATGTTTGATTTTACTTTTTATGTTGTAAGTTTGAAATCATGGTTTGCTATTATGAATATTGCGGTTTAGTTAGTGGTTATTAATTTTCGCAATAACTTAGTTTGTTTTACATACCTTATTATATAGTTTCATAACTGGCATAAAATAACCTAGGCATCAAGTGTATGTTTGGTCTAAAGATTTATTTTTTTGGAAATATGCTGTTTTTTTCAAAAGCTATCAGAAAGATGAAAAATGGCTTTCTCAAAATAAGCCAAACCAAACAAATACTAAATCAGTTGCAATGGTAAGCAACTCTTTACTCAGGCATTTTGTTAATTCTATATCATAAATTCACTCACAAAAAGACAAAGTTATCCACTTCGTTTTACTTCATCGTGGAGTAGTTTCAGCTCAAGGATATTTATTTTAATGACGTCGAGAAAAGGGGATTCAAGAAAATTGTCTACAAAGATCTTTTTTTTTTTAAGTTCAAATGGTTGTCCAGATATATTATTACATGCTCCATGTTTTATTTTTAGGTTTTTTTATATACTCTTTCAAATCACGAGTGCCCTGTGTTTTAGAAAGAAAACATTGTAATGTGTACTTTTAATGCAGGAAGAAGGAGTTCTGAAAGGTCAAGAGCTAGATAATGCTGTCTCAGATGCTGACTATACGAAAGCAATCCAAATTGCATTTGAACTGCGCAGGCCACATAGGCTTTTTGAGTTATTTTCCGAGCTTTGCAGGTTAGCAACAATCATTTGGTTGCCTGAATTTTGTTAGCGTAAACTTGACTGGTATTTCTGCAGCAGGAAGAGAGAGGCTGAAGAGCATCTTGACAGAGCACTCAAGGGCTTGGGTGATGAAGAGCTTCGCACATTATTTAACTATGTTCGAGAATGGAATACAAAACCAAAACTCTGTTATGTTTCACAGTTTGTACTTTTCAGAGTTTTCAGCGTCTTTCCTCCAACTCATATTGTTGAGGTGCGGTTTTTTAACCCTTGTTAAGTTCTAAGTGGCGTTGAGCATCTAATCATGCATTTCTTTCGTATTATGTATGATGGTTAATGAGTGAAATACTTGGCCTGACTATTGAATATGGTTTTGTACAAATAACCCTTACATTTACGTACTATTTCTATTTTTTTTTTATAATTTTGCATTGATTTCAGCCTACGTGTAATTGTTGGGATGTTTTTCGAGGACAGAAAAAAACACCATGTTTAATGAACGTTTTTTTATTGGTTATTTCAGATTAAAGGGATTGGTGAAGTTCTTGAAGGTCTTATCCCTTATAGTCAGAGGCACTTTGGCAGGATAGACAGACTTGTTAGAAGTACATTTTTGTTAGATTTCATTCTATCAGGAATGTCAGTTATTGAACCAGAAGCTCAACCGACAGAATCAAAGACCAAGTTACTGTTGCAGTCCGATATCCATATTCCGGACACAGAAAATGTCATCGAGGAGAGAGATGACACTCCTGAAATTACCGCTTCAAAGAAAAGGAAATCAAAAAGATCAAGACATGGTTCACATAAGAAAGTTAAGAATGTAGCTTTCAATAGGGTCGAGTCTATACCACTACAGGCATAGGATTGGTGCTTTGGTCGTCGTCTAATGTATACATAATGTTTATTGGTCTATGGAAGAGCAGTTTTGATTCATCCAAATTTTGAAATCTTACCTTCATTTGATAATATGTAAGCGTAGCTACTGTAATTGCATCACTATTGGTTATTCGAGTAGATTAGTTTTCCGGTCTGCCCTCAACATGTTATGGGAATTCTGCTGTATAACGAAAGAAAGTTATTGTTCTTGAGAGACTGCTGAGGCGCTGTCACTGTTGTATGAAAAAGGTAATTCAAAGGATTTACACCAAATTTGACCCACTATTCTTATAATGTTCAATTCCTTGTTCTTTGCCTTAAATTTAAAATACTAAGGAAATACCAGCGTTCTGAAGGAGTACTATCGATTTCCTTTATGTTCTGAATGTTCTATTTTATTAAGTATATGGCTGCCAAGAAATGTCCAGTCCATGTATTTTATGTATTTGTGCGTCTGAAACAGTGTCTTGTTTCTAGTGCTACGCAAAGATTGTCATGATCATGGTCCTGTCCTGTTTGATCAGCATTGTAAACACTGATTAGATGGATTCAGATATATAATTGGTAAACGTTGTATGCTGATTACAGTTTTTATCTCTTTTGGTAAACAGAGATAAAACAGCAAAACAAAAGTTTTTAAATAAATGCCAAAGATCGAAAGCCTTTAGTCTACTTAAAGAAGATTACAATTACCATTGGATAAGCTTTTAGTAGTTGAAAAACAGTGATTTTCAAATTTAACATTTTCGTTTTTAAACACAACGGACTTCCTTTATTTAAGAATTAGTGAAAACACATTCACTTAGAGAATATGAGAAAAAATCAATATTATAAATATCATAATAACTATAAAACAATTACAACATATTTTATAATTTTATCGTAAATATTTTTTTATTTTGTAAATAATTTATTTTATAATAGATATTTATTTTAGTTTAGAATAGTGATTATATTTAACGAAAAAACAGTCAAGTAAAAAATTAAATTTAAAAAAAATGATTAAATTAAAAAGATAATTATTTTAATTTTAAAAACTGTTATTTAAAGGATAGAAAGGGATATAAAATATATAAACCAGAAAAAAAATCTCTCTATATAATAGTATAAATTTATCCTAATAAAAAAATTTAATAATTTTGTTTTAAATATTTTACATTTTTTAACTACACGAAAAAAAATCAATTCAAACTTCATATTAAATTTAAATTGAACAAAACTAAACTATGATTGTGTTTTATTTGAGTGTTTGAAGAAACAAACCTGCTGGTTAAGAGTCTCTTCATTTGCAGTGTCATTCGATTCTCACAGAAAGCAGACATGTCTAAGTTTGAATCGGAAGTTGCAAAAGGTGAGAGGTACCGTGTGGGCTATGCTCTCCAAACCAAGAAAGTGGAAAGTTTCCTTCAATCCTCCCTCCTCGATTACGCCAAACAACACGCCGTCGATCTCGTCCAAATCGACCCCTCTTCACCCTTAGAACAACAAGGTCCCTTCCACTGCATCATCCACAAACTTCACACTCCACAATGGAACAAACACCTCCAACAATTCTCGGCCACGCATCCAGACACCGCAATCATTGACCCCCCCGAGTTGGTGAGTCGCCTCCATGACCGAGTTTCAATGCTCGAGGCAGCCGCCCACTTGCAAATTTCCCTCCAAAATTCCACCGTTGGGGTTCCCAACCAAGTGGTCGTAAACGAACCAAAAGCCCCCGATTTCGACAAACTCGAACAGCTGGGTCTGCGATTCCCCGCGATCGCCAAACCGTTGGCGGCTGACGGCGGCGATGGCTCTCACGAAATGTGCCTGGTCTTCGACCGCGAAGGACTCAACGCGCTGAGCGCTCCCACAGTGCTACAAGAGTTCGTGAATCACGGTGGGGTCTTGTTCAAGATATACGTTGCTGGGCGTCGCGTGAAATGCGTGAAGCGGAAATCTTTAGGTGATATATCGGAGGAGAGGCTGAGAACTTTAAAGGGGGAGGTGCTGCCGTTTTCTCGTGTATCGAACTTGGGCGTCGAAGGGGAAGGTGACACCGTCGAGAAAGCCGAAATGCCGCCGCAGTGTCTGGTGGATGAGTTGGCGAAGGCGTTGAGGGAGGCCTTGGGACTTAACCTTTTCAACGTTGATGTGATCAGAGATAGTAAGGAACCAACAAGGTACCTTGTTATTGATATCAATTACTTTCCCGGCTATGCAAAATTGCCCTCTTATGAGCCTTTTATCACTGATTTTTTGTTGGAGGCTGTTCGCACTAAGGCTAATTAAGTGAACTACAAGCCTGAGGATGATCAATAAGGTTGTAATGTTATAACACTACTGTGTAATCACTTTTTTATGCTGTTTTTCAATGCTTCCTCTTGTATGCCGTTTTGGAGAATGATTGATATTCCACCTTCACTTTGCACCTATTATAGGATACTGCTCATTTAAAGTTCCACTAGTCATCAACTGCACTGTGCAGTGTCCTTCCTTGAAACTTGGTTTGCTACCATGATGTTAAATGCATGGCATTGGTTTTTCCTTGGATAACTGGATTTGTATGAATCCTTTCCTTCGCTTTGGACTCAACCACTCGTTCTCATTTTTTAAAATACTATTTGACAACAAATACACCAGTCCATGAAATTGCAGGAATCTCAGTTATTTTTAAGAACGATAAATGTCAGTCTCATTAGTTCTTAGGCATCGGTTTTTTAAGGTCTGAGAGTTTTTCCTCTACAAAGCTATGCGTCCTCCGCAAAAGCATTCCTGGACAAAGGGTTTTATGAATGAAACAAACATAAATTATGAAGAATTGAAATTTGTTGAGGCTGGATGGTGCTCGCCTTATTGGCCGTGTGTCTTTATTGATATACACCATAACTCGGAGTTGCTTCAGAATATGATTCTATGCTTTGGTACTTTATGAGATGCTTTATTCTACTACACATTAACAATTACGATAAATTTCCATTTGTCTACAATGAAAAAAAGAAAAGAAAGATTCTGCCATGCATGGAAGGACAATTCCATATCCTCATGTGATGCGGCTCTCGTGATTAGCACGCCTCTACTCTTGAGCACTTCGTATTCTTGGTAGTTACCCCCTCCTAAATCAAGGACGCTCATATTAATTTTAAGATAACAAAATCTAATTACAAATTCACGAAAAAAAGTACACAAAACATGCGACTCAATGAACTCGATTTAAGAAAATATCACGCTATTCGCTTAATTGTATTGAGGGACTTCCAAAAATTCCGATATGCTTTATTGTATGCGTACACAGTTAATAATTGAACTACTGGAATACATACCGAGCAGATAACAAATCATAACCGGGGTCTCAAATATTTACTTTACACATAATGTGAATACACACTGGCTGAATAACTCCGACAAAATGTCTTGAGTTAAGGTGTATTCTTCGTTTGGTAACTGATTAACAGAATTAACAAACAAACAAACGGTTGTCTTCATCAACATTGTGTACACGAAAGAAATCATGCAGTGGCTGCCGCCTCTTCTGTTGCCGCCTCTCCGCTAGCAGTTGCCTTAGCACGCTTAGCTTCATAATCCTTAACAGCCGCTTTGATGGCATCTTCAGCAAGCATGCTGCAGTGGAGCTTAACTGGTGGAAGTGAAAGATGCTTTGCAATCTCACTGCAGGACATCGACTATTTGTCAGTTCAAGATCTCAGAACAGGCCAGAGCCATCAATCATGAAGCATAACCGAAGCTATGATCCATAATTACAATAAGTGTATCTAATGCAATATGCACATGGCATGATCATTCTAGAAATATATAATATACTATATCTTTTAGCCTAGAGTTTAAGAGATTCTCCAGGTTAGAGCATTCAGTAATAGTCTGTTGTCTTATACTGGAATCAGAGCTCCTTAATAATAATTGGTCATTTCTTTTAAAATTGCAGTTAAGTTTCTTTGATTAGGGGTCTATAATCCTTATTTTCGTTTGCTTCTTTAATTGATTGATTTTTTTAATTATTATGTTGATTTAATCATACCTAAAAATAGTAATTCTTAAAGGGCTTTGATAATTGTGTAGATTCAGCCATTAAAGGATCTTGATAATAGTCTAGGTTCAGTCTTTAATCAACATTTAAAAAACGAATAAGGGTGTGTTGATCATATAAGGAGTTCTAGGGTTGATCTACTGATTTTCGAATGACTGTCATCTGCAAGGAATTTGCATTTTCAGTTGTATTGTGGTCATTAATGAGGTTGGTAGAGAATTGCAATTCTGCAAATCCAAATTAAATATGTACTTCTTGGATATTATTAAACAAAATAAAAATTATAAATCATTTTCAAAAGACACTCCTTATAATCTGCAGATACGAACAATATTAATCTCATTTCTTTCTAGAAATAAACCCTAACGAGGACAAAAATTATTTTTCATTCATCAAGGAACAAAGCTTCTATGTTTTCTATATACTATTGGATTTTCACAACTTTTTTAAAGTTAGATACTTCACATACATATAAATATACCGGTGAAGTATCCATGATTATCGGTATTAAATACGAATCAAATGTGAATATGTGAAGTAAATTAAAGTTTATTTGTTTTTCATGAACTATCCGGTAAGACTAAATTCCTACAGGCAGTACATAACAAAGAACAAACACACATTAAAGTACAACACATTTCCATCACTAACCATTCATTCCACAAAAGATCCTTCTTTCATTCAAAAGGTAAGCTGTTCTATTGCCGTACACAGAAAATTAGCACAACATAGCAAATACAGATGAAAGTAATATATACACACACATATATATATATATATATACACACACATATATATATATA